GTCTCGCTTAGGGGTGTAAATTTCGGATTTTGGTCTCGCTTAGGGTGTTCTGGGCAAAATGTCATTATTTTTAGCCGTCAAGGTCTCGTTAAGGGTTACACGCGAAAAAATAACAAAACAGAAAGAATTTTGATTCTTTATATTTACTCAACTCATATAAACAAATTCGCCATCATTAGAAGTCACTGTATTTTTTATTTGTCTGTTTTATAAACTGGTCTCTTTTAGGGGTCTGCATAAGCTTCGGCCACGCCCAGATTGGTCTCTTTTAGGGGTTAAATTCAAAATTTCCGACGAGCATCCTCGTCCACTCCATATGGGAGTCCCCCCCCCCGTTCGGGGGATGATCAATGGTATGAATGAGAAATCACTGGATCAATGAGCAGTAATCGATGCTCCACAAAATGTTTGGTGTTCGATTTAATAATAGTCCGCATTGATTACTCATCGAGTATTGGCAATATTCCATGAGAAATTAATTACTCATTGATTACTCACCTCGAATGTTATTTATCATTGATCAGTTATACCTGACATATTCCATGAAAACAGGGTTTAGTTGTCAAACAAAACCTGTTACCAAGGGCTTCTTTGATAAGCCTGCGAAGTCTCCTTTTTGCACCGTCGAACCCTGTTAGCTCCATCACGAAACAATTCTCTTCGTACCCTCGAGAACCAGTTCCGACGATTATTTCACAGCTATAACGGACATGAAAAAGTTGACGGCACGAATGACGTTTTCAATGTTTCCTCCCCAGGGAGCTCCCTCTATTCACAATTCTTGGCTTAACTGGAATATTTGGGAGTCAGCTTCTTTACCTCCTTGGACTTTATTACACCAACGCTAACATAGCCTCCATTTTTCAACCTGCGATCCCAGTGTGGACAGCTTTAATCGCCATTATAGTGCGCATGGAGCCGTATCCAGACTTCAGTACTTTGCGAGGCTGGGGAAAGTGTTTGGGCATTCTCTTAGCTGTGGCTGGAGCTATAGTCATGACCATAGAGAAGAAATCTGGTCAAGTCGCAGACCATGAGGGGTCCAGCTCCTCTATTAACATCCAGTTTGTGGGGTACATATTTCTCCTGGGAAACACACTCTCCATGTCGGTGTACATCCTCTTTCAGAAAAAATTCATCTTCGACAAACAGGATTCGTGTTGGAAAACAAAACCCGTGAATGTTACAGCATGGAGTTATCTATTTGGCGCCATGTTTATGGCCTTGGCTTCTCTTTATTACGTCAATAAGCCAGAAAAATTCACGTACTTTCCTAAGGAAGAAATCTACCCTGTTCTTTACGCCATATTTATCACCTCCGTGTTATGCTACTTGTTAATTTCGTGGTGTAACATGCATTTATCTGCGTCACTTGTCACAGCGACCTGGCCTCTTCAGGTCTTGTCCTGCGCCATCCTGTCATATTTCGTTTTAGGGGAGGTCCTGAAGACATTGGAATGTTTGGGGGGTGTGCTAATCGCCGTGGGCCTAATGGCAGTGGTGTGGTCAAATTACGTGGAGGAAAAACGAAAACTGAATGAAGAAGGAATAAGAGGAAGAATAGAACTCGATGAATAACTCTTATGGCTATGTACTCTATGTTAAAGTTTCAAAGTAACATATCGAGAAGGTCGTGATGAGGGAAATAAGTGAACTAGAAATAGGTAAATCAGAACGACTTACTGGATATTAATATTAGAATAGAAAACTTGGTTCAAGTAGATTGTCTTATCTCTTTCTGTAGCTATAATTGGTTGGCGGAGGGAGAACAGAGGGTGTGAATCGGGAACTAGCTTATTTGAGAAATGAACTCCCCGGGTAGTGCAGAAAAAGAATGCGGAAAATTGCTCACAAATCTCGTAATTGCACTGCCTAGTTCATAGGCCAAGATATTATTTCCTTGGTCAATCCGTTTCGAGTCACGTAATCCTAGCAAATAGCAAGGCCTTTACATTAATGAAATTTGAGGTGCGGTGGCCTCATGGTTAGTGTGCCCGCCTCCGGATCGAGCGGTCCGGGTTCGAGCCCTGGCCGGAGACATTTTGTTGTGTTCTTGGGCAAGGCACTTTACTCTCACCGTGCCTCTTTCCACCCAGGTGTGTAAATCGGCACTTGCGAACTTAATGCTGGGGGTTACCTGCGATGGTCTAGCATCCCATCCAAGGGGAGTAGAAATACTCCCAGTCGCTCCAGGCTACAGAAACCGGAGATAAGCGCCGTCCTGATGGGCCGCCGGCCCTTGGCCCATATGCAGATTTTACTTACATTACTAAAATAAAATGGCAGTGGAGACCTGGGGGAAACCTTAAGGCAACTAGGCAAGTAACGCAGTGAAACGATTAGTCACTGTAGATCTGAAAAACAGCACATAGTTTCTTTTGTCACTTTATTTCTAAATATATATTTTTCATATCTTCTTATATCTATACAAGTTTAATCTTACGAGTAGAGTTAATTGTGCAAGTCTTGATATTAACATATAAAATCTTGTTTAGTCTATCTACACATTTCTTATAGTAGTTTCTCATCAACACAATTGCTCCTTTGGGATCATCTTTTGTTTTCTCAATACCCGGTTTGCCTGTCTTTGTGTGGCCATTGTAAGGGGAAATAAACTATTGATCGCTGTTTAGTAAGGACTAACAGGTTGGTCTTTGGAAATGTAAAAGAGCGAATACAATATTGGTTTGTAAATCATGTCTTAACAAAGAACTAAACAGTGCAGGCAGTCAACGAAACCTCTATATCGTTTGTTTTGTTTTGAGAACTTCGTTTTGAAAATTAACAAAAACTAGCAAGCACAATTGCATATTGAGAGGCGAAACTTTTACGCACACAAACATCTGTTAACGGGAAGACGTCACTCCATGACGGATGCGTCAGTGTCTCAAGGACATTGTCGTCAACATAAACGTTACCAACTGTGTCCAGTACACTATTCTGTAATTGGGCCAGTTCCATGATTCGTCTCTAAGTAATGCTCTATCTCACATTATTACATAATGTATCACTAATACCTATGTTACTTACAGTACAAGCAAATAAAATAAGTCGTGAATTCTTGATACCTTATATGCTTCCGCTTTTTACTTTGCGCAAACACGTTAGCGCAAAATAAATCAAAACATTAACATCGCAAAAAAGAACATTCAGGTTACTTGAAATTCAGTTCCAACACTTAGCCTTGAACCCTGAATTCCGCGCACGCCCTGAACTACGAGTAGGTGTAGAGAAAACTACCATTCTCGACCCCAGAACTTCGCTTTCTGGACTAAGCGAGTTGCGCCTTCAGTCATGCTCAAAACGGAATGGCTCTGGGGCTCAGAATGAGAAAACTACAGGTCGCTACCTGGAATTGTACATAACACTCTCGAAAATTTCTTCACAGATGTTACTAACCTCTTCAAAAGCGTTGTAATATTTCAAAATTCCTTTACATACCCAACTTGTTCAAAAACGGAATATCGTCTTTCTAATTAACAATTAGATTATGAGTTCGAGATTTCTATGAGGTGATAGCTCATGAGGCCGAAGGCCGAATCAACTATCACCTCATAGAAATCGAGAGCGAATAATCTAATTGTTTTAGTAGAATTCTAGCTGAAATTTACTTCAAATAACGATTTTCAATTATTTTCTTGACGTATTATTAAACTTTGCGCCTGAAAAAGATCGCTCGGATTGACTTGTCATTTAAAATTGAAGTTGTGTGTTCGCGCGCATCAGTTTTTTTTAATAATTTCCACCTTTTTAAAAGTCAAGAAACCGTAAATGTCCTTCGTTTAGACTTCTCGGGAATTTAATTATCCATCTGCATCGAAATTTTCCTCTAAAACGTCGGAAGAACGAAAAAACGTCGTCATTTCCTAGACGACCTCCAGCCACTGCACACTAATGGCTGATAGTGTTCAATGGCTCAGCCAATCAGATTACAGCATTTGCATTAGTGTACTAATAGAATTCTACTAATACATTATATTAGTCTATATCCTATAATACATGCCTGCTCTCTATTGGTTTGCTGGCAGGGTTTCAATCCTTTCAGAGAATTTTCTCTTCAATGGTGTGTTTTTTTGTTGTTGACAAGTATCCACGCTCACTTCCGGTCGTAAGGTCTGATATCAAAGAATTCCGTAACCTTTTTCTCGACGAAGGCGTAAAATTCCGGAAGTTTGTTCTGTGCTCTTGTGGGCTCATATTCAAAAAACTTCTGGGGGTCCACCATGATATCAAGGATTCGAGTAATAAGATTCTCATCCTGATAAAGAGACAAAAGAAAAATACATCGGTTATCTCAAGATCAGTCTGCCCATGATCTACACATCCACAGTGTTCTATTTGTTTGGGACATCTTGGCACTAGAAGTTCTCTTGCAATAAAACAATCCCTCCTGGAAGCATAGATTTCTAAAGACTTTTAAAAGTTGCAGCTGGATAAGTAGCTAGCTTCAACCTGCAAAGTAGCGACCGTTAGCTCTAGGTAGGAGAGAGATTGGGAACGAGTACAACTTTTCAAACCAAGGTCTTACACTTTGGTTTATCGCCATTTACACTGATTATCTTGTTTGCTAAGAAACCTGTCATCACTTACCTGTAATATTCTCCGGAGACTACTGTTTCCATACAAGTCGCCATCTTGAACAATTGCTGACACCAAATCTCGCCATTTCTCTGTTAAAGAAGAGATTTGATAAATGACGACCCAAAACTTTACTATTGTGACTTCATCGGGTAATAATCATAAGTGTAAGTAAAAGCACAATGCTTCCACAAAGATACTCTAGTCGATACATCTAATTACGTCGATTGTTAAATTCTATAACGTTGTTAAATTTAGTTTCAGAGCTCTAGAATAATAGTTTGGACCAAACGAAACGAATGAATAACTTATAATTATCTTGTCTTAATATCGGCATCCTATGTTCCCTGGGATCATCCCGCACGGCCATCCCGCGATGCACAAAATGCGTGTGGGCTAAGTAGAGGAGGCAATGGAGGTTCTTACAAGGTCTGAAAATTCTTGAAAAAAGTATAGAAATCTTCAAACTAGTTTCAGACCTGGAAAAAGTGTGGAAAATAGAGAAAAAGTCTGGAAAAATAGAAAAAAGTATCTTTTTTTCAAGCTGCAACAATGCTTAATTGTTGAGTGATCGGCCAAGCGAGTAAGCAAACGAGCGCGCCTGGAGTGAGCAAAAAAGTTGGGTGAGGTGAGAAGGGGTGAGCAAATAACGAGGGGAAGGGGGAGGGGTAGGGAGGAAAGAAATTATTTTTTGCCCCACCGCCTCCCCCTGCTCCTTATTTTCCGCACTCGCTCGCAGTTTCGTTCCCTTTGCGTGACTGAGTGAAATCGTTACCTGCGAATCAAATTTCATGCAAATGTTGCCTTAGCCAAAACCTTTAATTGGAGCATCTCTTGAGCCCCCTCCACCCTATAACCTGTCATTACTGTCGCGTATCGCATTGCGCCACTTTTACCCTGCGGTCGCAGTGCATCATGGTTATAAATGGGTTACATTTTTAGAAATGCTCTTGTTTTGAGTCTAAAATAAATAGTATGGGAAAAGTCTTTTTTATACAAAAAACGTGTACGAACGCTGGATTATATATCAAAATAAAAACTGCTTACCTTCGAATGTAACGTAGAAAATTTTAAAGCCCTCCGCCATTGCGTTGCTGCTTTTCGAAGTAAACTTGATGTAAAGATCTTTGCTTCTCGAAATAAGAGACAGTGGATCGGTGAAAGACTCGCATACGTAGTGGGTAGTCTTGGAGAAAGGACTGGCATTCTCGCGCATGATCAGGTGATCCGAACAATCTGTGGTCAGCGGTAATGATATATTTGGTATAAGAAGGAGTAAACCTCGGCCTTCTGGGCATTTTATGTGCCAGACACACTCGATCCCTTTGGGGTAGGGGTCAGGATGATTTGGCGATGTGATGTTGCCTGTCATCGAGGTTAAATTTCCGCCGCAATATGTTTCTGAAAAATAAGTGGTCATTATTTATGTTGTTCTTCTGAAGGCGCGGTGGCCGCATGGTTAGTGCGCTCATCTCCGGATCGAGCGGTCGGGGTTCGAGCCCTGGCCGGGGACATTGCGTTGTGTTCTTGGGCAAGAAACTTTACACTCACAGTGCTTCTTTCAACCCAGGTGAATAAATGGGTACCAGCGAATTTAACGCTGAGGGTAACCCTGTGATGGACTAGCATCCCATCCCGGGGGAGTGGAAATATTCCTTATCGCTTTATTCCACAGAAACCGGGATAAGGGGCCTCTTGACCCGTATGCAGATTTACTTATGATTTTCTTGTATTATAGAACATGCATCAAAATACGACAGGTTTCGGTAAATATGAGTCATATTTACCTAAACACTCGGAGATATCAGTGGCACCTGTATCCAGTGTAGTCTTGTTGTCAGGGCAACGGAAACAGAAGTTCTCAGATCTGTTAGGCTGATAGGATCCCCGAGAGCAGTTCATACATTTGCGTAGGTAAACATCAAAGTATTTGCCAGGCTGGCAGCGATCTGTCGATGAAAATGTATGTGAAGGTGAGTTTCACCGTGCTTAAACGTCGAGGAACGATTGAACTGCCTTTCAACATATAGGGTTAGTTTACATGATCACTGCTACATGTCAAAGGAGGTTTCCTGCGAGCTTAAGCGTCGATTTGAAGGGTGCAATAAATGAAAATTGATCTGTCAATCGACAAGCAGTGAGGAGTATTTTATCCTTTAACCAACAAGGGTCTCAAAGGTCTTCACATAGAACTCATTCAGCGAGTTCACAATCATATGCAACGATTATAAACCAGGTTATCATGAAGGTCTCAAGAGTGCAGTGGATAAATTTAGATGTCAGTCGGTATGGGTGTAATGTTACAGGTCAGAGAAGGACTTAATGGGCGTAATGGTCAAGCGCCTGTCTGAAAATTGAACCCGTCAAGTGGCAAATAAAGATCTTTTTGAGCTTAATTAAGCATCAAAGAGTGAGGTGGATGACACAGGGAGTTCTTAGTGGGCTTAAGTATTTATCAAAGCTAAAATTGACCCTGCAACCGACACTCAAGGACGAGAGTTCCCGTCAATCGATAGAGAAGAGCCGAAGCAGGGGTGGGGTGGGGGAGAAAGTATGAATGGTCCACCTGGAAGCCTGTTCAAGACCCCTCTCAGCTTGTACTAAAATCACTCTCCCTGGGCTCCCATCCAATTTTTGTTTTTCTTGTCCAGACATCATGGGACTCTGACTCTACTCACCTTGCCACTTAATCTTTCGTTTCGACCTGTCTTTGTCTCCGAAGCACTGATCACTCTCCTTGGTAACTCTCAGTGTTCGTTTGGTGACGGTGAATGTCTCCCCAGACAGCGTCACGTTCAACCTGTTGTTATCAGTGAGTATGCGTAAGCCAGAGATCAATTTCTGCAGTCGTTCCTCCATCTGGCACCGCGCGCACGTGTTGTTGCAAAACTTCGACGTGGATATCACGTTCTGATTCATCTGTATGTCAAAATTCACCGACGCCACGAATTTGTCGACCCGCTTCAAATGGCGACAGCGCAAGTAAGGCTTGGGGATTTTGCAGGGGAAGTTACACACATCCTGGCTCAGCACAATCGTTTGAAGTTTGGAGAGTATTTGATCGGTTATGTCTTGGGATTTTGATTTGCACGGTGAAACTTGAGTCAGTCGGACACGGAAGCGTTTGCTGACTTCCCCTCTAGCTGCGAAAGACAAGCAATAATAAAACAGCCCTAGTTAAGCACAAGAGTTCGAACTCAGATTTTCCATTGGTTGTCCTTATAAATAACTACGTTTGTTTCGATGAATTGTTCACCTCTTTTGCTCACCTTTCTCCTAATACATATATCTTATTAGATGTTTTGGTGTGTAGTATCGCTGTATATTTTCACGAGTTATGCTGTATTTACGAGTTGTGCTGTAAATACAAACAACGAGTAAAAAGATAAAGCGATACTACACACCAAAACATCTAATAAGACATTTATTATCAAACTGCTATATTCAATAAATTTATCAATGAAAGACGGAAAGTGTGACAGTTTTGCGTGCGCGTCGACCTGTACGGCAAACAGGTTTTCTACTGTACAAATAACTGTACAATATCGCTGTATGTTTGTACTGTTATTTAGACGGTATTTGCTGCAGTTGGATAATAAGTGTAAATAAAGGAGTTACAGGATGGTAAATCAAATTCTTTCGCGATGTAATAATAAAACAAAAAGACTAGCTAATTTGAAAATTTTAGGTTGAATTTTTTCAAGGTTCGTTATCAGTGATATAACTTCTTTAAACAAGTGGATTTTTTCTAGGGGTCTCTCCTGTACTTTTTAATACCGTTAAGTTACTTAAGTAATGTATATTGCACAAAGATGAGGTCTGTATTTGGGATTACCGTAACCGAATTCGCAATTAGCCAATCAGAAGCCGTGTCTACTGTGCTGATATCCTGCGATATCAAGTCACTGACCTGATATGGCTACGATATCATGCTCACTTGGCCGAATTTGGTTACGGTAAATACCTAATCGTACGTTTTTGGTAGGCTTCGGCGGCTTATCCGGCTCGCTTGGTCTCGCCATGGGTATTTTGGCGAGACGTGGTTGAGCCAAAATACCAACCATGGCTCGACCACTCTCTCCTGCTATGCCGCCGAAGTGTACCAAAAAGGTCTGATTAGGTATAAATATTTTAATCTTGAAATTAAGTGGGCAAAGCCGGAAGCTTTTCCCCAAAGAGAGAGAGAGAAAAAAATTAACCAAAGAGTCATTGTTAAAGAAATTTATTAAACATCTACTAAGCTTACCCATGCAATCTCTCTTGTTCGGGTGTAGTTCGAATCCTTCATAGCAGCTGCAGGAGAAGTGTCCCCCTATACTGTGACGACACACGTGTTGGCATCCTCCATTGTCAACAGAACAAGGATCATATTCTGAGATAAGAAAAGGAAAATAAATTCCCCAGCAGAAAGAAATGAACAGTTCAGGAAAACTCCTTATCGATTCTTGTCGTGTCTGTGGTTGGTTCTTAACATTCAAACCCGGACAAGAGCCAATTACAGAGCCTATATTCAGCTACGTCATCAACTGCAATTTTTCGAGGTCGAATCCTAGACGTTTTCTTCCGGAGAATGATCATGAAATGAGCGATCTTTTGTTTACACAGGCTGGAATCGGATTAACAGAGGTAAACAGAGTTAAAGGTATTAGTCATGGAATAATCACAGGTGTGTTTGAAACGGAACTATTTCGTATAAGCGACTGTTAATAAATCTTAATAACCTCCAGAATACAAATATTAAGAAAAGGACTATCTACTTTGTAGCTTTTCTGTCCGATGACCTTTGCTAAACCTGTTAAGCCGGTCATCTAGCTCAATATCCTGAAAATTCTGTGAAGGCTGGTTTAAGGCACGCTCGGCACAGACAAACATGCAAACTGGCATACTACATTTCATGCACGTGCGATCATTGTATACGAAGATATTGACCTATACACTTTCTTCCGTCTCCGCGATAACCGGGCTTGCAAACGCACTTGAAAGAACGTTTGGTTGGTCTGCATTTGGCGTTCTTGTCGCAGTCGTTCGAGCCAGTGGCACAAGATGAATCTGCAAGAAGTAAAAGAGGAACGATTTTTTAAATGGTTGTCTATAATGTACTGGAAAGTGCGCAACTGCTATGTAATAAAGGGCCGGTTTATTATCACGCAACACTTCTACCCAGTTAGGGAAGCGTCACGCATATGTCTATATAACCGTTGCTTAGGGAACTATATGCGTTTTGGCCGAGGTGTATGGGCACTGGGCTCGAACTCCAGACGTCCCGAGTCCTACCCCTTCTCCCTGTAACATGGATCGATGCTACTCCGGTTCAATAGCCAGTTGGACTCCTTAACAAGCGTATTTCACAATTAGTAATCTAACCTCAGTGGTAAAACTGCCCTAGAACATTTAAATTCGAAGCGCTTCGATTCGTAGCACAGGATCTGAAGAAATGGTATCAACCTCGTTCCCAGGGTTTTCTCCTCGACGGTTTTAAAGTGGAGCAGACCCTGGAGACGAGGTTGCGAGGTTCAACCGCTTCACGTTGCGGGTGTCTCGTCAGCAAAGCTGAGATTTTTTACGGTTACTCCATGGCCACGTAAACATCGTTTTCTCTATTATAGGATGAACGACAATAGCGCGGTCTAACCATGCAACAGGGTTGGAAAACTCACGCCATGTATTCAACATTGAAGAAAAGGACGTTCTTTCTGATTCTAAAGAGATCCATTCTGTTTTGTAACGAGGTGTACGCGAAACCGGGGGGGGGGTACTTCCAGAAAAATTGAGTGGGGGTGTGCGGCCCGCTTCCCAAAACCCTTATCCTATTTATGACCAAAANAAATTCGAAACCCTATTTATGACCTGACCCTTAAATCAAAACCCTGTTTCAGACCTGCGTTATGATTGGTTCCCTATTTCAGACCAATGTTAAGTTACCATAAACATAATTTGTGAAGGGATTTTGTTGTTTTTCTTTTCGATAATGATGAAAAAGTGGCGTCTTCTTAAAAACGTAACCATATGAAGGCTAGAGTGCAAAAACCATGCCCTATTTATAACCAAAATCAGTTAAAATCTATACCCTATTTATGACCAGAACGGTTGAAAAACCATACCCTTTGGGGCCGCACATACCTATATAGCCCGTATAAGGGAGTACCCCCCGGGACGCAAAAGTCATGCAGCTTTATAGCTCTTTATGTTGGCTTCCTTGATCAATAAATAGTATCCACGTGACAAAATTTTTTAATTCACGTGATGGAGATTGACACAGCACCAGACTTTAATTTATCGATCTAATAATGATTTCCGTAGTATTCCATGAGCTCACGTTGGTAGGAGATGATAAAAAAACGCTTCACGATAACCTAAATTATTAACTCGCTGAACGAGTTCCATTTGAAATGTTTAAGTTCCGAAGTTGTTTCAAAAATTTGACTTTGCGCGTATAATTTATTCTTGAACGATGACATAACTGGATTGGCAGCTGTTAAACGTGTTTGTGTTCTATTTCAATTTACATTGCTTGGCCATGCGACTGTTAATCTGGCAGTGCTCGTGCTAAAAATTCGAAACTTTTAAGGTCTAATCGAGAAAGTCTGTTCGTAATGAGCTTCTAGCAATGCCAAGTTTAAGAGGCTTTCTACGTTGGAGAATACAAAAACACGCAAGAAGAAAATGCTAGATCAAACACGCATGCTGAAGTGCAGGTTAAGGTTTTTGAAAGGGTAAGGTCAAGATATTTAAGGAAATTTTCCAGGGCACAGAATTTGACAAGATTTAGCAGTTATACACGTACTGTGGTTAGCATTCGTAATGTGATTTTCCTTTATGTCTGGCCGACAAAAATGTAAAAATAAAGACAGTTTGTGTGTAATTTTCATTGAGAAACCCAGTTGGCTTCGCTATCGTTTAAACCTGGTTTGCAAGGACCAAGAAAGCAGGAACATTCTGTCTGATAGGGCCATCAAAACACAGGCGAGAGTATGACACAAGGGCAAAATTGTACTTATTGTTGAGCCGTTACGTTTTTTATGCAAAGAGGAATAATGCAGCTAAGCACAGGCAGTGTCCTTTCAAATCTCTAGACGACATCTTGAAATCAAAATGGGAAACGTTTTACACAGCATAACGATATCTAACAAGGATTGTTGGCGCTTTTTATCACTGGCAACAGCCTCTGAAAATCTATGGGGAAATAAAGTAAGAAAAGGACGAGGCAGCCAAACAGGCAGGCAGGCAGGCAAGAAAATGTTTTCACAACAGATTTATTCGTTCACACGACTGCATAGTTTTCAAATTAGTCTTGGCTTCCAATAATAATACCATTAGATAAGCTGGGAAAACATCGCCTACGGATACAGCACGCAAACCTTTGGTTTGCACTCCGGCGGCACCAGATTGTTAATGCAGTTTAAGTCAATTTAGTTGCAAAGCATGAATATAAACAACAATAGGTCTACATATAATATCGAAAGCAATTTCTTTGGAAAAAGGCACTCAATCAACAATGAACACATCAAAGAGATTATGTTCTTTCTTTTTGCAGAATAATAAGTGTTGTGTTTGTTCGTTTTCCTTGTCATACGGGTATTGCATTCTATTTAAAGTCACGATTTCTAAACTTCAGTATGAAAACCAAACAAGATTATCATTGTAAAAAGTCATAGCTGTGTAATTAAATAACAGGCTTTTTTTACCATTAAAGAGCAAATTATCAATTCCTTGACAGAAAGTAAATTAAGATTTTGAAATCCATCCATTGAATCACGTCCGATTTCATCTGGCAATTCTGCAAATAGCTCTTTAGTGATAAGCTTTGTCGTTTAAATCTCAGTGTAAAAGACGTCGTTAAGTGTACCTGATGGATAGTTTGTAAGCAACAGCTTTGTTTCTTGCGCGTGACGGACTTTAACTGAAACCCCCGAGGGTACACTCTAAGTCTAAAATTCCCTACCCTAACCCAGATAAGCTATTTTCCATGCAGAAACCTTATGACTATCGTAGTCCAGCATACGCCAACTAAACCAATATATTACAAAGTCACTTCCGAGTTTCAATTTCTATTCTGTAACCCCCCGGGTACTAAAAGAACTCTGGTCTACACTAAATTATCTATACACAGGCCACTTTTCCGATAAATTGTACGGCCCTATTCTAGACCAAAACTGTCTGATTTCTATGCCCTATCCCAGACTAAACTGCCCGATAAACATACCATTCACATCGGCACAAACCTATATAACCTAAAAATGGAAGTACCCTCCTCCTCCGGGCTGAAACCCCTACAGGCTGGTCAGTTTTGAAGCAAGACCGGAACGAGAGAAGTTCCGTGTTAACAGGAGAAACCGGCAGCAGTGATACTGAATGAAATGATAAGTAGACTTTCAATTCCTCCAGAGGGGATCAATTCACGAAAACAACACGCCAGGAAAAACCTTTGATTATCCATCTCGCGAACCGCGGTTTTTTTTTTTTCACAGCCTATGTCAGTTTTTTGCAAAATGTCATTCCCGGCGGCTTGTTCGCTCGCGCACAAAATTTTGTAAAGTAAGGGATTTCCATACTGGTGTTTTTCACAGGAAGAACTTAAAAAGAACACAGTTAAATCTTTCCTAGAGTGAAGAGTGTAAATTCCATTTCGTTCCAGTCTAATAACCTTTGTGGTCATGGCGAATTCGTCAAAAGACCGCAAAAAAACCCCGCAACATTTGTAATTGAATTTTGGATTTTAAAATAAATAAATTAATTAACAGTACGTCTTTCTGCGGTTACTTTTTAAGCAGTAACTGCGTTTTTTTACAGACAAAATCACGCTATGTCTATTTTTTGAAATTATCTGCTTTAATTTTGAATTCCAAGCCAAGTAAAACTAACAATACAGAAAATATTCAGTCAATGCTAAGTGGATTTCAGGGACTGAAAGAAAATCTGGTTACCGTTTTGCAATCGTTTTCAATCTCGTTCAGCTCACATTTTTATCATGCGAGTTGAGCACTACCAGAGCCGTACCAGAACAAAATTATGACTGAGGTAATGTCCATGAAAAAATTATGACCGACGCAGTGTCCATGTCGGTCCATGATTGAATTCTCCTCCGAGGTATTTAGGGTGTTTGTGGTGACTATTAGTGACAAAAACGGTTTACCTGTTACTAGCTACGGCGTAACGGCCCTGACTGCAGCTTCCAGATATTTTTTATTGCCTATCTTTAACCTTTTAAAACAATTCTTTAGAGGTTTTTGAACTCGATTTTAAGACCTCACAGTGCGTGAGTTGCAGGAAAGCGAGACCTTGCCCAATTTAAAGGATTTCCTAAAATATCTCACCTTTGTAGAGGAAAGGCCGTGAACTGAAAGTATTGGCTGATAAAATCTTCTTTTTCCTATATAATATGAAGATATCGGGAAAAGCCGCTTGTTCCGAAATTCTTTTCCTACATTCGTTTGGAGGTCAAGCATGTTTAAAACCTGTGTTTTAAATCATGCATGAATGAAGTCACTGTCAGCGCTTGTCAATAAAAGTGTGCCAGTTTGGCAGCGAATAAGTTCAGCGAAATTAATTTAACTCTAAAGGCATAAAACTATAGTAAATGGTGCAACATTATACAAAATTTCTTTGCAAATAATTCTATTGAAGCGTCTTCGGTTAGTAGGGAATTTGGTGAGCCGACGGAAACTGAAAATTGACTTAAAATATGTTTTCAGCTTCTTAGTGTTTTCGTCTTGAGCTGCGGACTTCCACTGACTAGTACTGTGACATGAAAATAAAGTAGATAAAGATACGTGTACAAACGATCTGCATCTGTGGAAGAAGTTGAATCACATTTGAACACTTATTTTCTGCCCACGCAACTTGTCCAAACATTATCTCAAGCACGTAAAACATCTCACATGATTAATTGGAAAGCACTCGAAACAGAATTAGAAACCTCGTGAAAACGTTTCCAAGAAAGCTTTTTCTAGTAAAACAGCCACTTTTCAAACGAACAACACGGTAGCAAAAGGAAGACATTTATAAGAAAAGCTTGTATTACATAGCACATTAGCAGGTTCATAAAAGCCATTTCAATTCGTCGTTTGGGAGTTGTTCGGCTCACTATGTTGTCAACAATTTTGCAATTTTCTTGTCAGATTCCCTCGCTCAAAATCCGGGCTTTGTTCCGCCAGAGGGACCGGCGCCCAGTATTGCGGAACCCTTCATGTCAAAACTGGATTTCTACAAATTTCAGCTATGCAAAATACTCAATGGATGCGCGTAGAAAATGAGAATTCTCTAACTGTGAAATTGAGATTGAACACAGTAGGAAATCTATAGAGTCCTTTGTCGTAAAGGAGTTTGTTATGTCTTGGACGCGCGGCGAAACCCCATTATTTTCTGATGCCGGAATGCGGTTCTCTGTCATATTTCAAACTGACCTCGAACAATGAGATACCATTACGGCCACATGCACGAAATCAATGAAATAATTAGCCATGTCAACTTACAACATGATGTGTTTACAGGCGATACCGCTAAGTACTACATAATGGAAAAGAAAATATCGATTTAAAATGTAATTTTCTCGGCGGATTAGATTTCCTGAGTGTATGATCAAATAATGGAGCCTTTTATTAAGAAATTACTTGCTCTAAGCAAAACCTGCACCAGTTAAAAAGCAATATTGATAGTCTTGATTGAAATCGTCGAACAAAAATTTGTCATTGCAGCCATTTTCCGCTAGGACAAAGGGCCAGTTTCTGTCTACCCTGGTATTAATTTCTTACTTCATGTCACCCAGTTGGTCTTGAGATTCTATTTTTGCAGGCGGTTTCTTTGGCAAAATCTGTCGGAAATCTACACGCCAGAGAGAATGTTTGCTACCGGAAGTCAATTTGAAAGAAAACGACCTCGCTTGTGCAAAAACTGTCCAACAGTCTTTGTATCATCCTTCAAAAGTGATAATAGCCTTAAATGTTCAAGTGATCAGTAAATTTTGAGAGATAATTATGCGACATGGATTTGTCTGGAGGGAGTCATAATTTGCTGTCGTAACAAAAAACAGCATGAGAAAGCTCGCCTTTGCGTGAGGCAAGGTCACGAAGACATTTTTTTAAAATACCGCAAAAGAAAAAGCAAAACGAGAAGGCAAATGGGACCAATATGTTCTGTAACACTGGTGTGAAAATAATCCCTCAATTATCTTTCTAAAGCATCACCTTACTACCATGTTATCACCACAGTTATTTCGACAACAAGATTTATACATTTGAGTCAAGATACAATCGAAAAACCAACACAGCGCAAAAGGAAGCCAACATTACGCGCGGGAAATCAACACAACGCTGGGCTGCGTTAACAATATTAAGCGCGTGCAATGTGATGTGCGAGTTTCAATTGAAATGCTGAAAACTTGGAGTGGAGGAGTGCACACTAATCAATCGTTCCAAATTAGCACGTCCTTGCTAATGTAAATTCCTCCCACGCTAAATTTATCATCTCTCCTGCAGCAGCACTCCACGAAACGTTTTGTAAAGTAAACACAGACACCAGCAATTCAGTGATAATCCGCGATCGGGTAAACAAGGAAAAACACCCGCAAATTTGCAACCCTAAATTACAACAACAAAGTGGTGTCCGCTCTCTCTTACCTTTCCCAAGTTCCCGTTTGAATGTTATTCGCACTTTACAAAGGCCTGAGCCGTTGTGAAAATTTCCGTAAGGGACTCGGTTAAATGCCGCGTAGATAAAGCTGTCTGTTGGGGGACCGAAAGCTGGTTCTTGTTCTGACAGCGTAAAAAGGTGCCGACTGTTTTTGATGTCATCCCAATAACGCTCCGAAGAGTTCACAAAGAACGTTTTCCAAGAGACAGCTTCATCTGTGATGTCAATTGTCATGTTCGCTCCCTTTTCCACAACTTCGTCTGCAACAGCCATGAGAGAGTTTCCGTCTGTTACGTGGTACATAAAACCAGGTAGCTTATTGCTGTAGACGCGAAATTGATCGTTGTACACTTCAGCAGCAGCACAGTTGCTCGAATAACCATAGTTCCATCCGAAGCCATAGGTTGTCGGAGCAGATGATATGCTCGCTGTCCACAGACGAGGCTCTTTGCCGTACATCAGCTCCATTTTGATCTTTTTGTACGGTCCACTGAAGTCCAGCCGCACAACCGCTTGGCCATCGCACCGATCAGGGGCAGAAGAAGAAGTTGGCCCATAGATGAAGCTAACATGAGTTTTAACTGCATCTGCTGATGGTATGACACGGCCTGACTGTAGATCTACCTCCACTTCTAACTTGTTGGCGCACTGCAGGACTGAATTACATTGCAGCGCGTTAGTATAGGATGTGACATGTAGCGTTATGAGTATAACTACACATTTCTCCATGCTACAGGCCTACGTGCTCTCATATCAGCAAGAAAAGTCAGATCGGAACCGAAGCTTGAAAATTGGTGCGCGGAACGTTCTTACGGAGCTCAAAACAGCTGTGCTCGTTCCGAATAAAAGCTAAGAAAGGCAACACAATAGAAGGCTTGTTAATGAGAATGTTGAAATGATTAGAAGCACCACTAAACAGAAGAACTTTCAAACCTTTTATGTGCAACAGCAGAAGAACAATACCGAGCGGTGATTGGAAATGAAAGACGGGCATTGTGTTTCTCAGTTGCTTTCAGCTTGTAAATGTTGGTTCTGTTGTCAGCTTTGGTCCAGAACGACGCGTTAACTGGAAACTAAAATGCAAATCTTGACTAGCAAGCAGCGACTCAATCTGCGGAAAAACTGAGTAGAAATCCAAGGCACCGCGTTTAATAGCAAGAGGGAGCAGTATTAAAATGCCAGATATGGGTTCACTGTCCGATCCGTCGGAGTTGATAATTAGCCAGTGAATTGCTATCTGTCGAATGCCGTTGATGTAGATCACTTAACGCTCTTCATAAGAGAATTTGTATATGCCCTTAATGAAGTGTAGACATTTCCTCTGGTGCGAGCGAAAAACGATGCTGCGGTCAGAGTCAACGAAGGGATCAAATGTCGACTTTTTTGGCGTCAACTTGTAAATTTCACACGATCCTAAGCAGTTTATTGGGTTTAGCTTGGAAGACTATGTAAACTGAGACCCCGACAATAATAGATTTACTCGCACGTTGCGTCAATTTAACGTTTATGAGATAAAAAGTGATATGGCTGTTTGCTAAGCTCACGCCCAATAAGCGGTCGTATATCGCAAGCAACAATAGAAAGGCAAACGGATATGACAAGTGTAGTTTTGGCAATTCGACGTTTTCATAGTTAAATTATTTTGTAGCAATCATTTCGCGTGGAGCACCTTAAGATGATAACCTCTCTTGTCCAACGATTTCTATGTCAAGAAACCAATGATATTCCTTTTTGGAATGTAGTCATAGCCATACACCATCTTTATCTGTCCACTCTCCCATTGGTCAAGGTCTTTGACATCAACTGTCAATCGCTAGTCTTTAAAGGTTTAATTTACGTCTAGAAGAATTTTCCCTGCCTTCAGCGCGTGTTAAAAAACAACCGTGTCTGCCGATGTTACGAAAACGTACGCAGTACTGTTTTGTTTGTTGCGATAACGATTTGCCGCCCAATAACATTGTTTACAACCTTGGCTGTCTTGTCCTGAATAAAGAGGACGGAAAAACATTTTATGAGAACGTGAGCGAATCGGCCTGTCATCTACTTAATTTCCTCTCTGATATCACGTCTCTCAACAGCACTTGAAACAAATTAAGTTTCCTTGGGCTCAGTTTTCTCTGGAAACCAATGAAAACAAATTTGCTTTTTCGTTCACGAGTAAAAAAAAGCGTGCTTTTTCCCCCTGTACTGTGGAATGCTTTTGGAAGCTGATAAAAAGAAAGATCTATTTATCGCTTTTGCATTCAATAAGGTAATGCCCCAGTTTTCATCGGTTTTTGCGTTTTTATACGCATTTCACAGCATGAAATCAAATTATCCGCGAAAATGAACAATTTTATTTATTGTGCTTTATGCTTATCTCACTGTCTGAGTTTGTAAGAACAGGAACAGAACTTTCTGTAAGCTTCTTTGTGATCTCATTCACCACGCAGCCAGTGTCCTTTGAGAGTGCCGATCAAATAACAAAGGTTAAAAATTTTGATACGAGATGAAATATAGCTTTGAAATGGTTATGATACTTCTCACAGCTTGACAGAAACTTTTATTAAAGAAGTCAAATAATGTGTGATGAGTGACTTAATATTGTCTGAACGTTTGAAATTCCACATCGATTAAATGGTTTTGGCTTTTGGCAAGATTGACCTAACCCTTGGGCGTGAATAACGCTGAGAAACAGCACGTATCTTATATCCAATATTTTTTTTCTAAAGTTATTTGCCAAAGACTATTTTTAGCCGTTCGAGAACTAGTTAAATAACAATGTACCGTCAAAAAAATCCATATCAAAGTCTGTGCTGGATTATTTCTTATCCTTTAATCGGATTTATTGTTAAATGCTATGTTTTCGATAGTACTTAGTTTTGCTAAGCCTTTTCGCTTTTTCTGTTTTTCTCGCAGTTCCTGAACCTTCTTCACCTTGCTTTTTTGTATCTTCAGGGCGAATCGGAAAGCCGGCTCAAACTTTGACTCGCAATTAACCGGCGCCCTTAGCCGGAAACAAAGTCATTGTTTTTTTTCGTTTACCAACCATTATCAGACGGAAAATGGTTTGAAAATGGCGATATTTTTACATAAGATAACATCAATTCTTATACTTCATTGGAAAATATATCTTTCTTATTAACTTTACGTGCTGATAAGTGAAGAAACACTCGTCGCCCGCTTGGGTCAGTGTTTTCTCCGCGGTGTGTGTGGCGGAATTTTAACCATATCTCAAAGATAATGGCCGGATAAACCTCAGTTATGCTTTTAATGGTAGATTCTGGCTTTTAATTTGTTTGCGCGTCAAAATGACCTGAATGAGCTATAAATGTTTAATCGCCAGCTAAGAGTCGGAGGTTTAAATACCGGCAGCTGGCGAACCGAGAAACTTCCTGCTAAAAAGAGGTGAAATTTTTCCCTCAAAGTGTCATGTGATGAACTGAAGTGGCAAAACGCACTGATTAGTTATTTGACTCAGCCGGTCAGATACCTGAAAACGGAGCTTGGAAAGTTCTTTATGGACTTGCTTATCACAAGTCAGATATTGGAAAGGTCTGTAGTTCTTTATGGACTACAAAAATGAAACACTGACAGTAAATCTCAAAGTGCGCTTTTTTATGGCACAGACAAAGTCAACAACTCTTCTCTTAATTCACTCTTCTTTGATAATTATTGCATAGTGAGAATTTATGATGTTTTTGTCAGGCATGTACCATGAAGATACTGCCAATATTTCGAGAAATTAGACACTGCTGTTATCGTCTTTTGAATATGAAACCAAAATATTTTCCATTGGCAGACGGAAGGCGACGGGCGGACTAGATTCTTGACAAAAGAATAACATCTTCATGGAAAAAGAAAACAAACACTTAAAAATTCAACTTTTTTTTTCCAGTTGAGCATTAACCGTGACCGATAAAATCTTCCCCAAGTTATCGTTGTTTGCATTATTTTATTCATGGGCAATCATGGTTACCTCGTTACTGTCGATTATTAAAAAATTCACATTACGTAACACATTTCGACAAAACATTTCATGACAAACTCCTAATTTCAAAACTGTTTCAAGAACCTTCAAACTCAAACATAGCGCTAAATCTTAAAAACGTTCCCAGGAGGATTAACAAATGAAACGTAAAACGCACTGCTAAAATAATATATTCTTTTCGGCATTTATTAAAAAAAGGCTATATATAAATATAGGTGAAACTGATAAGCTATACACATGAAACTCATTAATGGGGTCTTTAAATAGACTCAGGCCATGCCCTAAATTAATAAACTATCAAGGTTGATTAGATGAATTAATCATTCAGCATCTGATCAAGGACAAGACGTGAGAAATGTCGGGCATCTATTTTTTTTTTCACCCACTTATCATGTCGAAATCCTAGACTGAAAAAATAGCTGCAGATTCCTACCTCGCTAAATCAAAAAACTTTTGACCAAGAGCTAATGGAAACAAAACTTTCAATAAAGTACTTGTTTGGTAACTCTTGGGGTGTTCAGCCTAAAAAGGTCCACAGCGGGGGCTTTCGCGGTACTTTTTAGGATATTGAGCAGAAAAACAGTCAATGTCACTTAATCAAATGTTGTTTGAAACTTTCGGTACCTCCGACGAGCGCTAACGTCCTTTTTACATGGGAGCCTCCCCGGGCCGAGGATTTCCCCTCACCAACGAATATGCTGCTTGTATGAATATAGTCAGAACTGATCAGTTTCCACGGGTAATTAAATGCTTTGTTCGGTCCCTTCACTTTTCCAGGCTCCTGTGACAATAGCCGCCATGTTGAATTTGGCAGGGAAATGAGTTCGCGATCTTCCGGAAGGAATAAGACCGGGGATACCCTGCGAGCAGAGGTCCCTTCGATGAAGATCGAAGGGACAGCACTGGCAGGGGACAGCACTGGGTTCGATCACGAACGACCGAAAGAGCCGATTAGCCAAATGAATACTAAGATTTTCGTACTCATCTCACGCATAGTCGGCCAGCGGGATCTTAAATTTTGCGAATGACAGTACAAATAAATGAAACTTCTCTAGTGTTGCGCAAAACAGAATCACATTGTGAACAGTTGAAAAATGCAAAGCCTGAAAGGGCGGGTCAAAAATTAAAACAATTTGGAGAAAGACTCCTTTTAACGAATTTAACCACGCTGTTTGCTCTCGAAACAATTTCAACAAACGTTTTAATGATAGTTTTGAAACAACACAAACAAGAACTATTGGAAATCTACGGACCAATTTACGAATGGTCAAAAGACTGCGGCAAATTCATGCAGATTGCACGTCGACTGATTTCCGCGCTAAATGATTTCAAGAATTTTCATGATCACCAACGTATGCGAAAACTACATGTTCTACAATATTTGTTATGTATTTCAATCATCACTGCCTCATTATTAAACTTTGAAGGCGGCTCACTAGTGTAACGAATCCTATTAAAGCTTTCATCTCCCCGTCGACTGAGGACATTTTCATACGGTTCTCCATAACCTAATTTCCTCTGTCATCGAAAAAAGCTATCCAACTTTTCAAAGCTTGTATATTGGTTAGCTATAATTAACTAGATAGTTATCAAGGGCTTGGCTGTCACCAGTTACCAAGGTCGAATACTTAAAAATATAATTGGTTGTTAATTAGATTAAATGAATCATTTTAAATTGTGAACTTGTCAATTTACCCTTTTCAGATTAGATTAAATGATTCATTTTAAATTTGTGATCTTGTCAATTTACCTTTTTCAGAATGAAGGGCCGAACAATTTGATTCTGCAACTGTTGATGGAGTAATGTTTGAGGTTTCCTGTAAATTAATTCCCTTAGCCTACTCAGTGAAATCTAATTTTGACAACGCACTGTCTCAGGTACTAAGTCAGAAGTTCTTATGGTTGAATCCACTTTTTTCGTGCCAGAGCACAGGGATCCCAAGCCCACGTTTTGAGCGGTTGGTGGGTAATCGGTGTTGCGTGACCCTGACTACGTAATAAAAACACCGATTAACAAAATGAACTTTCTCACTTTTGTTATTTCCTGTGTCCTTTTGGTGATTTTTTTCGATCCTGTTTTTCCTTTCCTAGGAAGGAAAGAACAGGATAGAAAAAAAATCGGCTTATACTTCCTTATTACTTGAGACACTGAGCTGAATAGAACTGCACTGAGAAATCTTGAATTGATCAAAGAAAGCCAATTAACTGTTCAACTGCTCAACTGTCTTGCGGTTTAAAGTGTGGCTGGCATGTCTCGGAAATAACGGTGGTTTCACGGACGACACAATGAGATTAGAATTGAGAGGTTCTTCCTTCGCAAAGACGAATGCTTTTAGGTGGGTAAAAATATATCTAAGGCGTGATAACCACAAACCTGACGGAAAAAACATTAACTGATCGTGAATCTTTCTTGTAGCAATCTTCAACTTTTTAATCGAAATAAATTTTAGCGTCGACTCCAAAGAGGTCCCCATGTACGTTCTTTTTTTGTCTTTTTTTGAGTGTCTTTTTTTGATAGGTAAATCTAGGGAGAAGATTGTTTTGCTAGGATCTCAGACAGAGACAACCTGGAATGCGATGAAAACAAAGCACACTGTTGTTGATTTATTCAAAAAAGCCGCTAGATGATACAAACGTATACGAGGAAACCTCACGAAAGAAATTTAATCTGGTTACACAGAAAAAAGAAGCGATTAACACATAAAAGAAGAACAAAAGTCTCCAATAGAAGTTTTCTATATATATAATTTACGTAACACAAAAGTAACGGAAAGAAGCGTAAGGTGAAAATGCATGCGCAATTTCAGTTTTACTAGTTCTAGTCGCCTTCTGTTGAATGCCAACAAGAACATTTTATGAAGGGAGGAGACAATTCTATTAGAAGAAGGAACACTAACACACAAGATTAAGGCTCGAATACATTTTTATTTCCTATTGGGGATTTTGAGTTAGATGTGTTAATTTTGTGGCAGTGAAAACCAGTGAAAACTCAGCTGGATGGAGCCGGACCGAGTCAGCTATTACGGCGTACAGAAATCGAGAGCGAATAATCTAATTGTTTTAGTATAAATATATACTAGTCGTTTAAAACTATAACCAAATTCTCTTCACAGATACTTTGAAAACGCAAAGAAGCGGCCGTCACTTTATTATCAAGGGCACACTGTTGCGCTGCTCACTATCTGCAACAGAATAGATAGCGAGTAGCGTAGCCAATCAGAGAACGGCATTCGTGATAGAACGCTAATAGATGTATACTAAAATCCGATAGAAACGGGGTTCATGTTTTCTATTTCTCAAATATTGACTGAAACAAAGCCAGCTACAGAAAACTGCTTTCAATTTTAGATACCTCGGAAATTCAAGGAGGCGATAGATTTATTATACCTCATCTAACATCTGTTTGTTGTATTCAGTTATACTTCCAGAGAGTTGTTGACACAACGGTCATACCTACAAGCTCCAAAAGAACTCAAGGTGTGTGGTTTGCAGTTTTGTGTTG